AAACCCTAAAAACCCTAAAACCCAACCTCTCCCAACCCTTTAAAGAGGGCTCCCTCTCGGCTCAAAGAAGCCCCGGGGTCCTCAGCTTCTCGGACTCCGAGCCGGAGAAGCAGAGGCCCACGATGGGACGCCAGTGCGACCTGGATCATAGCTTATATATTTCTGCCTAAAAATATGGAAGAATGTAGTGTAACATAATTTAGATTATATTTCTACCTAAAATATGGAAGAATGTAGTGTAACAAAATGTAGCAGAATATGGCAGAACATGACATAACATGGCTCAAAGGTAAGCTGGGGCTTCGAACTGAGAGTGTAGGATGTCGGAGTTGGGATTTACTTTAGGACTTACGTTCAGGGCGGCCCAGGCTTTAGGGTTCAGGGTTTAGGGTTCAGGGTTTAGGGGGTCAGGGTTTAGGACTTACGTTCAGGGTTTAAGGTGTCCATTTAGGAGGAGAGGGGCTCTTGGCCCTGGGCGATTAGGCTTAGGGATTTAGAGGTTAGGGCTTTAGGAGTTTAGGAGCTTAGGGGCTTAGGAGTTTAGGACTCAGGGCTTTTAGGGTTTCGGGCTAATCGGGCTTAGAGATTTAGGACTCGGCGCCCTCGCCAGACAGGCTTGAAGCAAAGTTTAGACGATTGCAGCTCCTGTGATAATGCACGTACGTTTATGCGCGTGCTATCTGCACACTGTACATCATGCGTCCTACGGATACTTGTACGTAGTATAGCTTCGCACGCTACATTGAAACATGTGCCATGTGCCGCGGTATCATACACCATAAGTCATGCAGAAAAGTAATTATCCCACGCACGAGCTTTGCGTGCTGCATACGAACATGCAGAAGCATATCTAGTTTAATGAATTGCAAGATGCCGCAGGTATACTCTTGCATGAAGGTGTGTGTGTGTGTGTGCGCGTATACATGTACATATATGTGTACACGTTGTTAAAGCCTCTACAAAGTGTTCAGCCCTGTTAAACTAGTGTGCATACTCTCAAAGCCGTCTTTGCAGAGTTGGGCAGACGCTGTCTTCACTGTATGGGCTTACTACCGGAGATTAGCTCAGTGCTATCGTGTCGCAGCATATACTGCAATGTGAGATTACAAAAAAGAGACTTACTTGTCCAGTATCCTAGTGGAAGCAAAGGCAAACCTTTGGGACTATGTAGGGATTCTAGTAGCCAAAAAATTAAAGCTTACCTGCTCTACTACTATGAAAAGTAAATGCCCCTTGCTATCATGTTGGATTGGACACAGTCTCTCGATCACAGTGTTGAAGACACTATTGCGCAGCGCAGATTAACATATAAAACCTAAGTACATTAAACCATGTTCTATGATATGTTTACATGATCCTGCACCTGGGTTGTATCATGCTATATACAGCGGATTGGTTATTATTCTGCGCATGAATATATGTCTTTACAAAATGCTTACGCCATCGGGAATAAGTATATTGCAATGGGTGCACTGTATACTGCAATTTGTATTACGGCATCAGTTCAAGAGACATTTTGCACTCTGAAATATTGAATCTCCCTGCGCGCACATAAGTTCACACGTGTGAACTAAAATTGTTAATGTTTACACAGGTGTTCACATGTGTATGGGTACATGTAAATGTACATATACATATATGTGTGTATATATATACATACGGAGTGAGAGAGAGCATTCATTTATAAAAGTGTTTGTCATTTGCGGTTCGAGTTAAAGGTATATGTCATATGTAAACTGTGCTTATACATATATAGATAGAAAGATAGATAGATAGATAGATAGATAAGTATGTCTATGTATCTGTCGATGTACATATTGGTGTACGAAACTCATAACTACCGAATTGTTATGGTTCATTGCTTGTTCGATGCCGTTGCCACAGGCAATCATACATGTATATGCACGTACTACTACATGAATTACTGATAGTACTCAGTATCATAAAACCCAATGTGACCGTGTCTTCATCTATATCCTTAAGTTTGACCTTAGCCTTGGTTGCATTATGCTCCATTGCATCTCGTCTCGCCGTGGAAGACAATGCCCTGTAAGTTCTTAACAGCATAGACGATCATGTGGTCTACAGGTTTTACCTGTGTATGACCTCTGTGAACCGTACTCTATACCTCTGTTGCGTAGCTTCTGTACTTGCCATTGCACAGTCCACTGAGCAATCTACCATCCATCCTGATGAAATTCAAACCTGACAGTATCGGTGTTTCAAATCCAGACCCAAGGAGCCCCCGTCATACGGACCCCGAAAGGGAACCCTCATTTTATGAAGTCTCCTTGTGTATTGGTGTACTCTGGGCTCTGGGTCGAGGCCACTTCTGCGTGGACAAATCGTAAGAACCAAGCTTGTGCTTCGCTGAGTACATCCACTCCTGGAGCAAAGCATACTCAAAGGAATTCGATTGATAGCATAGCCTGTGACAAGGACTACGATTAGAATAAGACAGACATTCATGATGATCTCTCATATATGTACACTCACTTGGTTAGCAGATGGCCAGTAGCTAGGCAGTGAATTGTCGATGGCTACCTCGCTAGCTTTTCGGCACCTCCTGATACATGCTGATGCGTGCTGACTTGTGAGATCTTGTGAGATCGCAAACCCTAAACCCTAAACCCCTAAACCCTAAACCCTAAACCCCTAAACCCTAAACCCCTAAACCCTAAACCCCTAAACCCTAAACCCTAAACCCCAAAACCCTCGGCGTCCTTGGGGAAGTTCTTGTCGTTTGGACGATGGGAGTATCGGTAGAGACCTTCCAGTCCCGTCATGCGGGTTTAGGGTTTAGGAGTTTAAGGTTTAGGAGTTTAGGGTTTAGGAGTTTAAGAGTTTAGGAGTTTAGGGTTTAGGAGTTTAGGGTTTAGGAGTTTAGGGTTTCGGAGTTTAAGAGTTTAAGGTTTAGGAGTTTAGGGTTTAAGAGTTTAAGGTTTAGGAGTTTAGGAGTTTAGGAGTTTAGGGTTTAGGAGTTTAAGAGTTTAGGAGTTTAGGGTTTAGGGTTGAGGAGTTTAGGGGTTCAG